GTTTTTATTAAAAAAATTAAACTTTTTAATAAAAACACAGGCAAATTTGCCTGTGTTACAATTTAAGGGATAAATTATAAATACTATCTAGTTTGTTTATTGAATTTCTACTGCATCGCTTTGAATTTAATCTCCAATTGAAGCTGATAATCAATGATTATTTCCATATCTAAAAATAGTAATTGGGAAAAGAAAATGAGAATGTGTCAGTATAAACTTGAGAATAGTAAATATCAGAATGTTTCTCCTTTAATAAAGTAACAAATTGCTTAAACTTATAATTCAATAACTATGAAAAAGTGTAACTTATAAGCTTGATCAACGTTTCAATATATAAGTGTTGGTCTCGAAAATATTGGATTAAACTCAAAGTTTTCACATTCTTGTCAAAAAAAATTACACCGTTAAGGTATAAACATTCAAGTTTTAAATCATCATAATCATAGTTTAACATAGTTTAAGATTTATATAAATAAAAATTTATTCAGTTAAAAAACTGAATAATTAATCTATCTATTTTAATAGAAGATTGATTATGAGCTTGGATAGTAATGAAAACATTTTGATTTTAATAATTTTTTATTGAAGTTATATAAATAAAATATTATTATTGCTTGATTTTTTTTGAATTTTCTGCATTATTACTATTATTATTATTTGATTTGTATTTTAAGGAAGCAAAATAGAAATCTATTTAATTTTTTTTCAGTGGATTGGATGGACTGCTTGAGTTAGTAATATTTTTACATTTCTTTGTTATGATCTGTTTGGTAAAGGGGAAATATGATGTGATTTTCTGCTACTGCTTGTTATAATTTATGATTTCATTTATTAAATACTCAGCTTTGGTAGTATTACAACCAAGCAAATCTGCAGTTATATTATGTAAACTTTTAAAATAATATACTACGTCTATTTTTTGCTTATTTTTATCAAACAGATTGAATAGTTACATCTTTTTACACACAGATTTGGTATTTTTTGAGATAATTATGTAGTAATATCACCCCAGTTCAATGATAATCTTGTGATTATCTGCTATCATAGTTACAAACATGATGGATATTATATTGTCTTTCTTTTTTTTATTATTATTATTTTCTTTTTTTTGATTGTTAAAATGTTTTTTATGAGCTTCCATATTATGATAATTTTTGGCTGAAATAGGATTGTAGATTGAATTATTCTTGGCGGTAAGTTTAAACAAATCGAGCGATAAATTTTCAGTATTAGTATACTGTTGTATAATTTCACAAATTTTATTATCTTTATTAATATCAATTGATAGTATTTCTTTATTGTTGTCAAATCCTAAAGACAACCAGATCAACTGTTCTGCGACTACCTTGTAAAATTCTAAAATATTTTTTTTTACTATTTTTAAGTCTTTAAGCATGAGTTTTGGGTTGTCAAATTTTTTATCATATTCATGTATACAATTACAATATTGTTTACATTATAAGAACAATGCTGGCATTAATGTTTTCTTATATGCTATCTTTAAGAATGGTTGGTTGGTCAGTTCACAGAGAAAGATGTTTATTTGATTCTCTAGTTCTTTTGATTGTTTAATCATTAATTTAACTATTTCACTCCAGTACTTTTTTTGAGATATTTTTATTTTTGTATTCTTGATCGAGATGTTGAAATTAATGTTTAGGCAATGTATAGAAAACTAAATCCGTATCTCCATATATTACATTATATTGATTGTCTTTGATAAATTGAATTACCTTATGAAGAGTTGATCGACAAAACCCTGTCACAGATAATAAGACATTTTTGTGATATAATAGTGAAAATCTATATCCAGTTTCCCTATAAATTGAATTTGCTATTGTTTTTAAGGCTTCCAATTTCAATTTGTAATATAGATATTTTGATTTGTCTATATTTTTGTAGATTTCTATTTCCTCTTTAGCTTCTTTCCGGGCATCAAGTAAACTCTTACACATTAGTGGCATCAATCCTATTTTGGTTTTTATATTGTTGTGTTTTAAAAATTTACTATATGTTGTACTATAGTCTGTTATGATGTTTATATTTTCTGTAATTGGTAAATCAATATCTATTTGTGTATCAAGTAATATATTTTGATCGATTATAGTATTAGAATAATAGAATATAAAGTTAATATTTGCTATAGAATAATTATTAGAATTTTGGCTAGGTTGAAGTACTAATCATCCTTTATATTTTTCAACCACAGTATAATCTTTGCATTTTGATAATATCAACATATCATGTTTTGATATATTTTTTTCATAGAAATTTCTAACTAAGCATCCTATACCATTGGTGAACACGTTTGATATTGTTATATATATTAAAGAGCTAGTTCTATATAATCACTAATTATGTTCCTTTTTATATTTAATTTCTATAATCATAAAGTATTGATAGAACAATAATATGCTAGTTCAATAGCATAATGTTTAAGTATAGATTCTGGTGCTAACATTGCCACCAAGCATTTTTCAAATGATATCTTGGTTAATTTTGATAGTTGTTCTGATAGTTTACAAAGTTTTGAATAATTATTTTTAAATTTTATAGCATTTATGTATATGAATATGCAACATAAATTATTACTCATGGGATTAGGTAAATATGGTAAATCGACCTTTCCTAAAAGTTCACATTATTTTAAGACTATATCTAAAGTGTTTTTTAACTCTGTTTTAAATGTTTTCTTTGACCACACCAACAGATCAATAAATACAGTTCCTGATACATAATAATATTCATATAACATTTTCTTGTTGAGGTTTAGTTTAATCAAACGACATCAGTAAATTTATATGTGCGAAATATTGCGCAAAAATTTGCGATACGCAAAAATAATGCAAAAATGTGCAAAAT